TTTTTTCTGTTATGCATTTTTCTTCTTAAATCATGGAATCAGTCAACAATATTTCTTGTCTGATCTCCATCATCCTCACTTGATCCCTGCCAATATCACATCTCTCTGTACATTGTGCCTTCCCTCCATTTGAAGCAGCTTAGGCTGTTTGGCAGTTCCCAGTGTGGGAACAAACCTGCATCTATCACCGTGTTCTTACCATCCTCTCTGCTCTCTCTAGCTCTTCTGTAAAGAATTTGCAGTGGGACACTCCATAAAATGCTTTTTAGTAGATCCATAAAGACTGGGTCTAATCCATTACCCTTGTCTAAGAAGTGATTCATCTTGTTAAAAGATTTGCCTTTAATAAAGCCCTACCTGTGATAATACCCATTTGTTGCCATGCACTGAGAGCTTTCCCTGAAAACTGCCCTAAGATGCCTGGGTTAAGTGGCCTGTATAATTTTTTTCCAGTCTTCTTTAAATCCAGTGATGCACAGATTCTTGCTACTAAACCTGCATTTTCATGTACCAATTATTTCAACATCCTCATGTGAGGATTATCCAGGCCCCCTGGGTTCAGTTCCTCTTATACTGGAAATTTCATCTTTAATATAGAGCTCTACCTCCTCAATTCCTTTTCCCACTCTTCTCTTCCTAAACCTTTTATAACTAGCAAATTTTTACATTCCAGTCATGCGAATAAACCTGCCAGGTTTCAGTCATGCCAATTAGATTCTATTTCTCAGAATCCAGCCAGAATTCCCAATTCCTCTTGCTTTTAATTACAGACTCACAAGGTGCTTCTCCCCAGTCCTGCTCTGGACAGCCACCCGTGGTGAATCACTGTGATAGGACTCTTATAGCAGCAGGATGGAGGAGAAGGGGGATGCAGAGCCACTCTGGAGCTGTGAAAGGGAATGGCATGTTCTGGTCTTGATATGTTACAAATTTCCTCATTTCTGCAGGTTAAACCTCTCTCATCCTCTAGTTCCTCAAGGAGCAGTTCATGTCCACACTTATGGTCCGTTTTGACTCATCCTTACATACCACCTAAATTCCAATCTACCATTTACTCCTTCAAGGAATATGTGGCACAGAGCATACAGACCTCTTGCTCTCAAAAATCAATCCAAAAGCACAAAAGAAGCCATGCATTATCCATTCCTGGTCTCCTGACTTCTGTGGAGCATGGGGGGCAACATGAAAAGGCTCATTGTTTATTTAATGGGACTCTACACTTCAAAGGCAATTAGGCAGATGCATTTTCCCTCTGAATGTGGATGTTGATGCTGAGATTGTTCATTTGCAAATACATCAAGATCTGAGTTCATGGTTTTTTCCTATTAACATCAAAGCAAACACACTGTTGAGCAGACCTGGCTGACTTGTTATTGCTTCCCAGCTCACAAACTCCTCTGCCTGTTATGACGTGATACGCCACCTTGCCTACTTGACATGTTCATTTTTTTCATGCCATGTGTGTTCTTGAGTCATGGAACCTACCAACTGGTTCACCACTGCTGCTGTTAGTACTTCACTTGTCTGGTGTCTTGTGCTGAGCCCTGTACTGCCCAAGCACAGACCTACACTGCAGGTGTGCAATGAGATACTCGAAGTCATACCTAAAGTCATACCTAAAAAAGAAATTAAACCATAGTGAGCTTGGCTCTGAGACATGTGGCCATGGCCAAGGCATGCAGAGCCCAGGAAGAGGCACCATGTGCCCTGTGCAGTATGTGAGGGCAGAACAGGACTCACGACCAGCATGTTCTGCAGAGCTTGTAGGGTGTGCTTTAGCTTCAGCCCCTTCTGCAGATTAGGTGCATTGCTCACACAGAAGGGACCTCCACCTGTATGTGATCCACAGCACTAAACCCACTCTGAAAGGTGGAGCCTTGTCCTCCTTTTGGCAGACTGGGATTCAGCCCACTTTGGAGTCAGAAATTGTGCTAAATAACTACAGGACTCCCCCACAGTTGAAACACGTATGCTCCAGTCCCTCTATTCCCAGAGGGGATTCACGATTACATTGCTCAGGTGCTAAATGCTTTTTGAATTCTTTTGCTGTCCTAGACATGCTGGATAAAAATAAACTCTAGATTCACAAATTATTTCAGAAATAATCGCGGCACTCAATCTCTGTTAGAGCTGTCAGTGGAAGCTAGGAAGCGGCGACAAGAGGAAGGCACGCTCTGCTGGGCTCTGCTGTTTGCACCTTAGCCTCTGGAATCTAAATGCACATTGCAGATAAACGGGGAGGGGAGAAGACACTCAAAAATCTCTTTGCTTGCAGCCTAAATGTCATTTTAAGGTGTTTCTGAGCCTCTACAACCAACTGGAAGTCCTGGCATCCTGTTCCTTGCAGCACCAACCCTCTGGGAATTGGTCCCGTTGTGTCTGCCCTGCAAGATCTGCTGTGTTGCAGCTGCACCAGGGCACGGAACAGAAAGTTTGGACAGCCCTGGGACTGGAGGGAGTGAGAAATCAAAAGGCTGGTGGCTGGATGAAGAACATGGCTCAAAGTTTGGAGGCTTTGGAGAGTTTTGACAGCGTCATGATCACAGAGAGAGTTACTGGCACTCGTGTGTGCCTGGTGGGATTTATGGTGCTTAACTTAAGACATCCGTGAGTGAGTGAAGAACCAGGGTGGGTCGGGAGCTGTGGGAGTGGTGCTGACCATAGGCTGTGGCCATATGGTCTGCTGACAGAGGTGTGAGGCTGCAAGTGACTGCTGAGAGGACTTTGCCTGGGGGAAAGCTGCTGTTGCAGTCACTTTCAGTATGCTTTAAGAAAGACGTTATTGACAGTGTGCAGTGCATTCAAGCTGGGGAGTTTGACTAATTTAACACACTGCTATTTAATGCACACATGGTGACTCTGATTTTTGCTGCCTACAGGACTGGGGTCAGTAAGTAAGGACAGTGTGCTGAGCCTGTTGGATGAATTGCTGGGACATATACTGAGCAGAGGGTACACATATAATGTGATCTCTGTGCTGTTGGATTGGGGATGGCCAGTGCCTCACTGCCTTAGAGCTCAGGTAAAATCATCACCAGTCAGGCTGCAAAAGGCCATGACAACACACTGACAGTCTAGTATCACAAACCTGTAAGTCTGAACAGAGACCTGTCAGTTATTTTGTGTTGACAGTATTAGGGGAAAACTTAGACCCATGTCCCTTACATTGCTCTTGTCCTTATCAGAAAAAAAAAAATATGGTAAATCTGAATGAGGCAGCTGTCTAAGCCAATACAGCCTGGATTATTTCCAAAGGTTGGTCACTCCTGGCTCAGCACTGCTAACTGGAGAGTACTTTCCCCCAAGTTAGTGCTTCAAACAAGAGAAAACACACAAATGGCTGCTGTGGCAGTGTGGGGAGGGAGAAACATCCCTTTCTCTCCTGCTTTCAACATAACTTCCAACTCTCTCCTGAAATCACCCACTACAGCACAGCTTTGTTTACCCAGTACAGAATAGATCACTGTGTTTCTCTTCTCCCACAGATAACTCACTTTTCTGAGTGGGCTAGAGTCACACACTTACAACTTATCTCACACATAAATCTTGACTTGGAAAGATTTCAAAATCTGCCAGAAATATGGGCATGCTTGATTGTGCCAATCCCAGCTAAGACGCTCAAAAAGCCAGAGAGTCTTAAGCTGCTCACTCAGGCTGCTGTGGCCTAAGTTGATTCCCAAATCAGTACAACAAACCATTTTTTTCTGTATTTCCTTCTAGCACCAAGAGGGTTGCTTTGGTGCCCTCATTTCAGCATGGAGCTGTTTATTAACAGTCCCAAGGTTAGAGTTCATGAACTTTCCTTTTCTTACATTAAACCGAGTTTTAATGATCAGCTAATTCTTGAAGCACTATCCTCAGAAATACCAGGGAGTATTCACAGCCTCTTGGGATGAAATGGCTTGTGAGCATCTCCCAAAGTTTGCCCCACTTTATAGCACCTCCTTACAGAACAGTTTTACCAGGATGCCATAAACTTCCCATTACCAGAGAGGCTGTGTCCTCAGAGACACAACATGCAGGATGTTAACTGTTCCTCTCTCCCAGCAGTGGTGAAGTACCAACTTCTCAGTCTACTCCTTGGGCAATGACAGGATAGGATGGAAACATGTATGCACCATCCATCATCTCATTTACATCTGTTACAATCTCTGTTACATTTGTAAACTTTATTTTTCAGTCACACAATCAAGAAAATATCTCTTTGCAAAGCAGAGTTTGGATGTTAGCTCTACCAGACAGCTCTGGGAGTAGGGACTGTCAGTTTGCATCTGCTGAGACTCAGTTTGGTCCCATGGCAGCTGCCTGCCATCCACCCTCCAGTGTTTTATTTCTTGCTAAGTGCCAGGGCACAGCAGAGAAAATGAGCACACTGAGAAGCTGCAGAGATGTCTTTTTGAGTGGTTCTCAGCAAGTAAATGGCTGGGCAGAGAACAGAAATGAGCTTTCTTGTGCCAGGCTGTGCCCTTTAACTGCCATTTCCCTACTTCAATAACCATACAATACAGGAAGGGTGTGTGGGTGGTCTTTTACCTAAGGGATACCAGGACAGAGGCAGTCTAGGCTACAGCGTGGTAAGAACTGTGACCTTTGTGCTTCCCCTGCCATTCAGACCACAGTCCTGGGGGCAATCACAATTAGATGTCAGAACCTCCTTAACAACTCGCAGCCGCTGCCTTTCGTGCGCTCCATGGAGCAGCTCCCAGGAGGAAGAGCTGACCAGTATCTGGCTGCAGTACCCAGGAGGGTAGCACATACTGCTTGCCAGGGTTTCAGCTGGCTATAGAGCACAGACCCTGCATCAGCCAGCAGGTAAACAAGCAAATCCTTGCTCTCACTGGAAACAGGTTGCTTTTCGACAAAGAACTGTTCAAAATCCTGCCTCTCTCTGCAGGGTGAATCTGCTCTGAGATACAGCACAGAACAGCTTGCCCGTGTGTTTATCACACTGAGGCAAACACAAAGCAACACAAGCTGGAAGGAAGTTGGTTTATACTTACCAGCAGCATTGATATTTTCCTCACAGGAGTACCAGATCCCAGTGTGGAAATACCTGAAAAGGAAGCGGTCATCTCCCGTCTCCCAGCTGTAATGAACCACATTCTGGTTCGTCTCATTTGCAGTCTCATTCCCACCGTAGTTGAGGCAGTTTGTCTTCTTCTCTTTCCCACAGCTCGGCTTGGGGACCCTCTGTGTGCCCTCACACCAGTGGGTCGTGATAAAAGCTGTTGTAGAGAAGAGGAGAGCCATCAGATTCAGACTCACTGCTAGCAGGGCTCTGCATCTTCGATTTGTCTTCATGGTAAATCCGCCCTCCCTCCCCCTCCTGCTGAGAGAAGAAGTCAAAGGGGTTTGTTTTATTTGGGGGAGAGGGGGGTGTTTCAAAGCCTCTCACGATTCAGAATCCAGTTGTCCAGGCGTTAAAACTCTCAGCTTCTTCCAAGCTGCTGTTGGAGCGGTCAAGAAAACGCTGCAGGCAGATTCCCATTCTCCTCTTCACTTGAAATCCTCCTGCCTTTGTGGGTTAGAGGAGCAGCTGCCGGAGCGGGAGCGGCGCCGTCCTCTCGCAGCCGGAGAGCCTCAGAGCGCTGGCAGGATCACAGAGGGTCTGTCTTGCGAAGAGCACCGAGAGCGAGTGAACATCTGCTCGGGTACCACACATGATCCCAAGGGGCTCCGCAGCCTCCTCCGCCGGGAGACACCTGCAGGCTGCGGGACTCGTGTCCTCTGCTCCCCAGGATGAGCAGGAGAAACTCAGCGGGCGGCAGGGACACAGCTCCGAGCCCACTGCAGCACACCGGAGGCTCCGTCGGGTTCGGGGGAGGCGTCACATCTTAGTCCTAAAAAAGAATTATTCTCTGGAGCTGCGAAATGCGTTTTTCATACACCAGAGGGGAGAGGTTCGTCCAGCAGGAGGAGGAGGAGGAGGAGGGATCGAGTGGCACTTTAGCATTTCTGCGCTGAGCTAGGGAGTAGTAAATCCAGGGTTTGATTCTGCTGTCGTCATGCTGGTGTAAATCTCTCTCTCCAGGGGCTTGCTCGGGCAGTCAGCAAAGCCCCGGAGGAATTCAGATTTGAAAGTGTGTGGTGAGTGAAAAGCACATCTTCACAATACCAAAGGGTGCCCCTTTCCCAGGTTTTCGTTTCCAGGCACAGCACACACAGGGGCTCTGGGTGAAGTGGGTCTGTAGGAAATTTTGTGGGTCCTGCTTTGTGCAGACAGAGACAGCTAATTAGAGCAAACCCTGGTCTTTACTCCCCAGAGAGCAATGCTGAGAGAGGAGGGAGCACTGCCTAACATCCCATTTCCAAATGGAAGTGTATTGTCCTGTTGTGGCAGTTGGCTGGCTCACAGAGTTTCTTATTTCTTTGCACATTGCTCAGAGCTCTCTGGTGAACACTGAGGGCCATGAGGAGCAGGTGGTGGTGGAGGTACAATCCATAAGACCCTGTATCCAAACAGTAAGCTTGGCCACACTTGTCACACAGCAGTTCTGTGTCCTTAGTAGATTAATGCAATTTTCTGGTGTGAAGAAGCTGCACATGACTCCTGAGCTTTGGACTGGGTAGTGTTTCCTTCCAGCCTTGTCTGGACTCCCTCAGGGGCTGAGGGGATGCTTGTGGCCTCTCAGAGCAGTCCAGCAGTCCTGGAAATAACTATGCCCTGACTTCACACCCTGCTCCTCATAAGGTTCTCATTTTATGCCCTGCACTGTAAAGTCAACACACAGGCTCCACACGCAAAGCTCATCCTGTATTTTGTTGCTTACAGACATGACATGTGGTGGCAGTTACTCCAGCTCCTCGAGGAAAGCCAGAAAGGACAAGGTGAAGTGTTCCCTCAGCAATGCACCACACAAGGCTTCAGAGACCTGTGGCTGCCTCCCTCACAGGTCACCACAGGACTCTGTCACGGCCCTGGCTGGTACCTGTCCTGCATGTCTGGGCCCAATTGTTGGTGAGTTCTTCCACTGTTTGTACTCACTTGGGTTTTGCCATTTTGTTTTATAAATAGACTGGAAAGTTACTAGAAAACTTTTGTGAGAGAACTCACACTGCTGCGTGAGAACAATTGTGATTTCAAAATTGGAATTGCTTTGTACTGCAAACCCTTCCCTACCTAAGAGTCTTCACTTTGGCTGCTCCTGCCTGTCCATGACTGCCACCTCCTCAGTGCCAGGGATTTTCCAGTGGTCTGTGCTAGCAGAGTGCCTTCCTTGTCCTCTTTTAATGGCACATCCCCTCTCCCTGCCCCAGTCCTTTCAGCATTACATCTTGCAGTGAAATAATCAGCATTATTTCCTTGGGTTTAATTGCCTGCAAGAAATAGAGGTGATAGCTCTTTAGAGACCCACAGGATTATTACTTCAGCTGTTTTTATGTTGCAGGACATTCACTCAGCAATGCCTGTGCATGTCCCTGTGTTTCTCAGGGTTATCCACTTGCTAAGAGGAATAAACAAAGCACTTGAAACTTGGACAGAAAGGCTCCACAAGAAAGCTAGCGTTGTTCTTCAGGGCTGTCTTTCAAGTGTCTGTCAGCATCTGAATAATCACACTTCTCCAAGTGTGAATACAGGTCTTTACAGCTCTTTTCTCACCATTTTTCTCTATCTATTGCCCTGTGGATTGTGTTTTCTGGCTGCAGCACCAATGCCTGCACACTCGGTTTCTCCCTGTGCCCATCTCCCTCAGGGTTGGGCATCCAAGGGGTTTGTTATCTGTGATAAGTTTGTCCTAATTGCTTCTTATATTCCATTTTTACTCCTAATCCTAACAGATATTTCTATTTCTGTGCCTCCTTATCATCTTCATTCTTGTTTTTAGGCTGACAGAGCAGTTGAGCACAGAGGTGGTGGCAGTATATTTTAAAAAAAAGGGTAAAATAAAGAAGAATTTTGGTTCCTTTTGTAGTACAGATTTTTTAGAATCTTAAGCATCTAAATATATTGAGCACAAATTAAAGTTTATGCAGTCAGGTAACTTTTTTGACATGAATATTTTCTTTTTTCCTAAAGGAAATCAGGAATTTTTTTCATTATTAGACTCCCCTAACTGTATGTGTTGGGATTACTTGAAAAGAAGGAAACCAGTCTGTGCCACACTCATGCTGTAATGCTCCAACGATTTCTCTTTATATAATCTCTGTTTATCAGATTTGTTGTGTATAAAAATGGAAAGATCATGCATATGTTGCAGGAGGCAGTTCAGATGCCTGGATTAAGTTGTATTTACATGGTATTATCTTTCATAGTAAAGTAGAAGGGTTTAAATTCTATAGAGAAGTAGTTTTTGTGCTGTGGCTAGAAGAATCTTTACAAACCTTTCTGCAGCAGTAGCTTTTCTATGATGTGGTGAGGAAAACTACCTTCACAGGTTATAGCTGAACTCCTTTTCCTTTACTGCTTCTTATAGGATCAGTCTAAGTTGTTATTACTCCGTATTTACTCACGTACGAAAAGCATTTGACCCAGAGGATTTAAAATAAGGATAGCATTTGCAAAGGAAGTTTTGACTCAGGCTGTGTTTTTCACTAGTGGGGAACAGAAGCACCATTCACCCAGGCAGAGGAAGCTCTAATTTTGGGTGCTCCAGTGGTGATGAGGCCGTGGTAAGCTTAGTCTGCTTGTTTGTTTGACACCAGCAGCATCAACTGCATGGGATTCTCTGCCAGGTTTAAATCAACTCTTTCAAAACACTATAGCTTTTCTTTAAATCCTTATTTCTTACAGTTCTGTCCTTCTGGGCTTCCTTATGGGTTTGTGTTGCCTTTTTAAACTGTTCCTGGACTGTGTTTCCCAGCTCCTCCTGCCACCTTGGGCTGGACCCCTCCTGGCAGTTATCTTTGCTTTTCCTCAGCACCACAGAGACACAGAATCCACTTGCTCAATTCATTTGTTTTGCAAATGGTTGAAAATCTCCTTTTCTAGTCAGAATTTCCCTCCTTTGACACAGAGATCTGCATGGCTCATTTTTCTCTTGCTCTTTTACCAAGGTAAATATGAATTATTGGTGTGCCCCCAATATACTTCCCCTGTCCCTACTCCATCCAGGAAAATGGCAAGTTTTTCCTTACCTCAGGCACATAACAAGTTTGACTTTTGTATTTGGAGAAGAAGGTTGGGATGGAAATGCTCTACATGTTTCTCCCAGATCACGACCATGTATGTTAGGCAGCTCTGCATAGCTTGTCTTCCCTCCACTCCATATGCAGGTTCCCTTTTGCCATTTGCACCTCAGGTTTAACTTTTTTGTCAGAACTCTGACCCAAAGCAGTCTGTGTTCAGCAGTGATGCTTAGCACTCTGAGCACACATGCTGAGCTGTACAATCCTGTTCATCTAAGAGATGCTGCTGAGAGACATTACTGATTTTCTAACAGAAATTAAGCTTTCAGCAAATGGGCAGTTCCCTCCAGGCCACATGTGAAGGTGGGCTGAATATTGATACCAGAGGAAATCTTGGTCTTCAGTTTAACTCATGACTTGAAGTGTGTCTTTCATGCACTTTGCTCGTGGGCATTTAGTCAAGGACAAGAAGGTTGCTCAGGAAATTCTTCCTGTTCCTAAACCAACCAGGCAAAAAATGGTTTCTGACAGTGCTGTAGTAAAGACCTTTAGCAGTCTTGACAGAAAGGAAAGTGATAAAACTAACTGTTGGTTCTCAGGTATGTTTTCCCCGTAACAATTCCCATGGCCCAGTGTCACTGGTCAGTAAAGACATCCCTAACTGCCCTTTTCAGAGTAGCTGGTCTGGATGTTTTGATCAGTTGTCAGCATTGCTCATCCTTGCTTGGGCACAAGGACTGTGCCATGAGCACTGCAGGCACTCTTTCTCTGCTAACAGACAGGGTCTCTGTAGCCCTCTGATTTGCAGTCTGTCCCAAACAGCCTTAGATTAATCATCCATACTCTGTATAAAAACCAGGTGGGACTGGGATATTAACAGATTTGTACTTATCTGGTATCTGCATTTAATTCCTCCAGCTGCTGGCGGAGGGGAAGGGAGATGAGAAGTGACAGGTCTGAGTCATGTTGTGATTGGTGTCTAGGAGAGCTGACTGGCTAAGTTGCCTGAAAAGACAGTCCAAAAGGTCACAGCTGAGCAAGAAAGATATTCCCAAGGCTATTCCCAATAACCATTTACGTATGTCCACCTATGCTGGGAGTGAGCAAAATGTAATGGTATCCTACTTTTGACCCTGAATTAGCTATTTTCCTGTGCTGGAGTATTATTTCTTCACAATCACTGTTGGATTGGATTAAGATGGAAGTTGAATTAATATTTAGTACTTTTTGTTAAG